GCAGTAGGCTCCAGTTTCCTGCCCAGTGTATGACACAGGGCCGAGGGGGGAAAAAAAAACTAGAAGACAGAACTGAGAGAGACAGAAAGCGGGTTTCCAGGACAACCAATGCAGGTACAACCAACAAAGGCCCTGGCCAGTCCAAAGCCAGTGATTTTTATTAGTAATCAATTGGGCTAAAGGAAGCTGTGTGTGAGGGCAGTACTATGTGTGAGGATGCGCAGTTGTGTAGTTTCTGTGAAAATTAAGCAAGGCTTATAAAAAAACAAGGCAGAGTATTCTCAGATTAGGAACAGAATAAACAAAATTTATGGTTGTAATTAGAACATTGTCCTTCTAGTAAGAAGGTTCTAGTTAATGGGAATGGATTTTGGGTGTGAGTCACTCTGACCTCAGCATGTAGCCTTCAGCCAGACTCACTTCTATAAACAAGCCAACTATGGGGTTAACTCTTCACAGCCTGCACTGCTTGCAGCCTGCTTTGGGCGTAATCAATACTGCAGTCTCCCACAAACCCCTACTGTGCTCTAAATAATTTCACAGTGTGGCCAAACTGTTCTGGTAATCTAGCCTTATTAGCTTACATAAGAGAGGAAGAAGTCTCACTAGAGGAAAACAGAACATCCATGTACCTGTTCCCTTCCTCCTTAACAAAGGCTTGTTCATATAGATGATTCCATATTGCATCTGGTTGATGGCTGTTTAGAATCACATCTTACCTTCTGTCCACTTGTTCAGCTGTGCTCTTAGCAGCCTCAGTAACAAAAGGGAAACTGGCCCTGGACTTATGGGGACTGGTTTCTTTGATTACCCTCCGGGACTCTTAAGCCCCATGTAGCTCGTGATTGTATTCTTTCCTCATACTATCAATTTTGGAATGGGTACATACTTTAACTGTATATAGGCTTTTCTTGTTTTTGGTTGTCTTTTAAAAATTAGAAAAGCTGGCAATTGTATAGTGTCAACAAAATATGCTAATAGTTGTGAAGTGAATTTTTGCATACCCAGAAGTTTAAACAGTCTTAAAGTTTTGCACCTTTGAACTCACCATTTTGTCTTTAGCCACATCAAATGTCAAAGAAATTTCATTCATATTTGATTTTTATGAAAGTTTATGGATTGTGATATCATTGATTCTCTCTTCATTAGCTGACATCCCCTGTGCTATTTTTTTTGGCCTACATAAGTAGTTATTTCTCTTTCTGGCCCACATACATGGTTATTTCTCTTTATAATCTAGAACACTATGTTGTTGATATGGTCAAATCAGTGCCTCTGTGTGTGTGTGTGCGTGTGTGTGTAAATACTGAACTTTCTGAGCATTTGCAAATTTCATTCATTGTAGTTATAACCTGTTTATAGTTCCCTGTCAGAGAATATCTTTAGATCCAACACGTGAAATGTGCTGTTCATGTTTTTTCCAAGTCTATTGTTTTCTCACCAAAATACCACTCTGCAGTCCTCATATCTTGTTCTTTCAAGTGGGAAATGCTAAATATGAACTTAATGTTATGTAGTGGAATACAGTGGTAATAAATATGAATTTTAAATGTTTGGGGAGTTATTAAAACTCTACCTTGAGTTAGCAGTAGCAGTTGGTATAGTTTTGGTTGTAACTATCAAAATAATGTTAAACTTGTATTTTTGCTGTGATATTTTGTGTTGTCATGTTTTAGCCACAAAGGGGCAGCATCATTGCCTTCAGTGTCTGTCATCTTTAATGTGGGCATATTTGGCCCAGAGTAAAGAGCGGAAAGTTTTATAACTTTAAAAATCTTATCACCTTATAATGATTCTAAATATGGTCATGGTGATAACAGATTTCAAGAGCATTTATTGTAATTGAAGAATTTTTTTGAAAATATAAACCTTCTGTTTTATTATAATAATGTTTATTCTTAGGATCCATGATTTCTGTTAGCTCTGCTAATAATGAAGTTAGTAAAGTCAAGAAGCAGTATGTTACATGAAGCAGGTTTTGGCTGGGGAGAAAGATAGTTTTGTGAATGACTTTTTTTTTTTTGCTTTCCTAATGAAAATATCTAAGTTATATGACAGGTAGCTTCCTCTGGGCTCTAGAGATGAATGTTAAAGGGCCACAGAAATCACTTTTGTCATGTGACTTCATCAGAAAATAGCTGCCTAACCAGGAAGTGAAGTAAGAATAAAAAACATTACAAAATTCCATCTGGAGGGAAGAGTGAAGCCCAGAGAGCTCTGAGTACCCCAGTTCTACCAGCAGCCTCAAGAAGTGTGGTTGCCACAGCTGGCTCCAGTCATCATCACCTTGACCTCAATCATGAGGAACAAAGCAGAGCACTGTGGACAGAGGCAGAGGGAATGGCAACCTATGGAACAGGATAAGATGGTCATTGCAATGAAAGTTGGGAATAGTAAAATAGTTCAGTGTAAAAATGCATAGTTTCACTGACAGGAATGACACCAAGCTAGATGTATTCATACATCTGATTGCTGCAAAGAATAGCCCCTAAGAGTCACTTTTGTAGTAGAGAGGATAGAGACTCTATGGAGTTTGATGTTGTTGAAGGAGAAAAGAGTGCACAGGCAATAAAGATTGCAGACCTTTCTGGAGTTCTGGTGCCAGGCAGTAAATATTGCAGCACACAGTAGCCATTATGATGTTATCTGCATCATAGTGGCCTCCATGTGGTCATCATCAGAATGATTAGAATAATGAGAATGGGAAAAATAAGAAGGGATCATAGAGTACCCCTGAACACCAAACTCAATGGCACATAGATAATGTGCCTCTTCCCTTGCTCCATGCAGAGGCCCTGTGGGTATTTACCAGAGTGTTCCTGCCCCACTGTTCAGGGAGTGTTGCTGGAAAACAGGTGGACCCATGAGAGCAATGATGATTGGAGGTATAGCCCACAAGTCTGCAGGACCTCTCTTTGCCTAAGGCAATAATGAAAAAACATGAGCAGGAAAGTTAGAGAGATGAAACCCAAGGCCAATAGGTACTTCAGTATAGGTACTCTACTACTTCATTTACAATACCAGTCACCCAGATAGCCCTAAACCGCAAGGTGGCCAAGAGAGTACCCCCTGGGCAGTACGCTCCTGAGGCCAAGCAGGACATGGCTGAATAAATACTGACTGGACATCTTTACAATCATCCAGTTTGTCACTCAACTAGAAGAAGAGAATGTAGAGTCCAGTAGTAAGACCTAAAGAGAAGATTGATAACTAAAGACAATAAGTGTTTGCCTTTATTCCACCCACCAAAACAACTAGAACCATCTGCATTATGTGATTTTTATTATTTTTTTCCCTAAAGCCATCTCTTTTGGTAGTGACAAACATGACTTTCTAGTTTTCCTCATACACCTTTAAAGTTTTTAAAAATTGTTATCTAGTCTTATTGAAACTGTTAACACTCTCATTTTAAATTTGTAAAAAAGCCTTTAAGACTTGATATTTTTGTAAAAGTACAAAAGTGTAAGTATCTGTTGATATAGGTCTATAATAATGATAACGCACCACAGACACTTTTGGGTTTAAGTTACTGTTTTTCTAGATTTTATATATGATTGGCTATTCAATGTTCCATGAATTCTCATGTCTTGGTGACCTTACAGAACATTGTATAAAGTGTGTTAGTCAGTTGTTACTGTAACAAAATACATAAGATAATTAACTAAAGTAGAAGGAAGGTTTGTTATGGTTCACAGTTTTAGAGGCTTCGGTCCTTGACTGGTTGGCTCCATTGCTTGGGCCTTGGAAGTACATCATGGTGGGAGTGCATGATGGAGTGAAACTGTTCACTTCGGGGTCAGGAATGATAAAAGGGAAGAGGAAGGGGCTAGAGTCATTACCTTCTTAGAGAATATACCTCCAATGACCTAAGTGCTCCCACCAGGCCCCATCTCTTAAAGGATCCCACTGACTCCCAATAGCGCCAAGCTGGGGTCCAAGCCTTTAACACATGGGCCTTTGGGGGACATTTAAGATCCAAACTATAGCACATAGAATATAGTAAGCATTGTTCTTTCTTTTTCAGATGTAATTTTCTCCATTAATCATCAGTGAAATGGGAGAGCATTTTTACTGTTCTTTTAATGTTGCTAGCAAAGAACTGAATTTAGAGAAAGTCTGAAATTTTCCTAAGAGAATTATACACATGTCTGGTAGTTATAGTTTTTATTTTTTGTTCCACATTTCAGTTACTTTTGCTTGAGCACATGTGACTCTTGTCCAGGACGAGGGAAATGACACGCCTTCCTCGTTCATGGAATTGAATGCTTATACACAATTTTGCTGTTTTTATTTTTCTCTAATTGGAAGATGCTACTAAGAAGGAAATGAAACTTAAAGACTTGCAGCTGACTATCTAAGCTGCTTCATAGCCACAGCCCCAGGAAGCCAGCTCTCCAGCCCTGAATCATAACTGCTCAAATTTACACTGCTGCATTTAGCTTCCTAAGGGGTGTAATTACTTTCTCCATGATACCCAGTGCTTGAAGTGACCTAAGCGAAAGCATCCCCCCACCCTGCCCTAGTGTTTGGCAAAGCAAGTTGCATTTATAGCATCTAGAAATTCAAGTGGCCTGGTCCTTGCTTGCAGATGGTAGTAGGACTGGCTTAAGGGTTGCTTCTGGGGAAAATCAAGGGCTCAGCAGCTCCTCCTTGTGCTGTCATAAGCAAAAAATCTTCACTGCTCATCATTCCGTTTTCCTCCACGAAAAGCCCCAGAAATAAGACGTGATTATGTGTTAAAACTACTCCGAATACCATAATAACCACCAAGAGTACCTTTCCACCTTGTCCTTCTGTGGCCGAGCGACTCATATGAGACCAGAATAGGTGATGTGGAACCCTTTCTGAAGGACTGCCGAGTTAATGCTAAATATGCAGCCTTGACCTGGCTTATATGATTTCCTTTGTATCTTATAATCTTTGAAATTAACAGTGCCTTTATTTCTATACTCTGTCCTTCCACAGATCTGATGCCCTTTTTTTTTCTTGCTCTATTTCAGGGCTCATCGTTGGGGTGATCTTGAGGTATGGCACTCCTGCCACCAGTGGCCGTGACAAGTCACTCAGCTGTACTCAGGAAGACAGGGCCTTCAGCACCTTATTGGTGAATGTCAGTGGGAAGTTCTTTGAATACACCCTGAAAGGAGAAATCAGCCCTGGCAAGCTCAACAGTGTAGAGCAGAATGATATGCTGCGGAAGGTGAGCTGGCACATAGTTGTCAATGGCGTGGTTGTTGATTCCATGGCTCTGTTTTGACCTTGTGGAGAGAAATGTTTCCAAACCCCTGGAATATCAGTAACATTCCTGGTTGTCAGTTTTTCTAGGAAGCTTTTAGACCATCATGAGGAGAATGAAGCAGATTTTAATTTGAGCCTTTCAACTTTATGACCTTCTTAAACTTATTCGGATCTGTGGTGGATGTGAACTCCTGTGCAGTGGGTTTGCCTATCCCTGCTCAACTCATTTGTCGAACTACCATCTGTTTTACTCTTTTCCCTTTTCCATGTTATGGATTAAATATGAGATTTTTTCTTTCTTAAAACATTATTGATTTCACTTTTAGCATGCTTATTTAGTTTTCAGAAGTGCAGTTCTTAGTTCTTCGTTAATCTTTTGTCATATTCTACAAATAATATTTGAATGCATACTCTCATTATGATTAATGACAAAGACCTAATGAACCTTCAGAGGAAGAATGGCTTGTCGTCTTAGAATTTGAGTCCAAACATTGTTTTTTAATTTAGTGTTGGGATAGCAAAAATGTTTCACAAGAAAAAGGATTATAGGGGCCAGGAATTTAGCTCAGCAGCACAGCACCTGCCTGGCAAGTGCAAGGCCCTGAGTTCAATTCCTGGTACCAAACAAACAAACAAAAAGGATTATGCAAGATCTGCATTACTTGACATATATTCCATTGCCATAAAGACCAGGGCCTATCAGCAAGAGGGCTTCTATAGAGTGGTCTGGGAAATCCAGGTTGTGGGGAGCCTTTTAAAATACAGAACAAGGTTAATGGAGACCTACTTGAAAAGGTAGAGTATAAAGAGTGTTCCAAAAATTAAATATCTGTTCTTGGAATGTACTGATCCTTAAGAGAAATTATTTTTAACTTGGAGTATTAAATATGATCATCTTGTTGGTATCCTAATGGCAATACTAGTGTGTGCTTTACTCCCAGCACTTCCTAAGAAAGATTGGAATTTCCATAAACATTGTAAAATTAAATACAATTGTGAGTGATAAACAGTGTAAATGCCACATTAATGGCTATTTTGAAATGGTGGTTTGAATTCTTCAGATTGGATTGGGTAGGGTATGGGGAAAAAGTGAAATGATCCCCATCTGTTATCAGGTATGTAACCATCAAAAGAGTAAAGATTTCAGTCTCTGAGATTACATGGGAGGACAGAATCCTGACTGAAAATTACCAGCCAACAGACACAGTTCACCTAATCTCATGCATACTGACCAAGCCTTTATGCTTTTTTATTTCTCTCACTCTGGGTCCCCATACTCCCCCTTAGTTACTTATTTTTAGTTCATTTTAACTAATTTTGGAGGTCCAAGGCTCCTACTCATTCTGATTTTCCCTGCTGAGAGGCTACTCTTATCTTTAGCAAGAAGAAATAATAAAGCGTAATTTGAAAGAACCATTCTTTTTTAATTAGGCTGATTAACATCTCAAATTTCCAAAGAAAACTAATTTTTAATAATTAGATGGAGATTTAAGATAATTAATTGAAATAAAAGACAATTAGTCTTTCCACATGAGCAAATTTGTTAAAAAAATAAGATTAGTGTGTTTATAGAATGCTGAATTCTCTTCTTAATGTGATAAGACTTTGCTGTTTAGAAGTTTCAGAGTGATTTCCTTATTCCAACCCTACAGATAATTTTAGTTCTTTAGAGTTACTAAATTCATGGTAACATTCACAAATCCACTAGCCTTACTGACAACTTTGATCTATGCCACATCAAGTATCAAGAATACTGCTCACTTAAAAGGTGCTCAGATTTAGAATTATGTCTATGAAAGATTATGTGAGAGGATCCAGAAAGTTAATAAAGAATCACAACAGCATTTTGTTACAGTTAAGCATTTATAAAGGTGTGATAAAATTAAGATATTTGTATTTCTTATTTAAAAATATTGGTTAGTAGCTTTCTGTGAGTTCTCAAAATTGCACTCAACTATTGTGTCTGAATATAGGTTAAACCATCACACCAAGATCATAAATCAGAAATAATATAAGGAGAAAAACATGTCATTCTACAGGGAAATTATGGCTTCTCTTCTGGACCAAGTCTGTGGTTTGTCACATTGGTTTTATTTGCTGCAGACATTTCAGTTTTATCCGGAGGCTCCAATATTAAGAAAATATTATAGCGTCATACTAAAAATTGGCTTTTTTCTTTTTAAACTTTTAGGTAACATTCGACCCAGAGGTGTTTTTCAACATTTTGTTGCCTCCGATTATTTTCCATGCTGGATACAGTTTAAAGAAGGTAAGATGGTTTTGCCAGTAATTTCTTAAGACATCTGAATATCTCTGTGTTAATTTGCCTTCATAGTTTACCAGTTTTTTCTTCTCCTAGATTGGCAATTACTCTTTTCCTCACCCATTCAGAGATTATAGATGACTCATCATCAGTGATACATTTCTGTTTTGAAACCTAGAATTTGTCTATACTTCCAGTGGGAAGGTAATGTGGTACAGCTACTCTAGGAAACGAAGTAACAGTTTCTTATAAAACTTAAAGTTGAGATTGCCATAGGACCCAATAATTTCACTACTACAGATTTATCTCAGAGAAATGGAAACTTAAGTTCACAAAAAAAACTATACCCAATTATTCATACTATCTCATTTGTAATAGACAAAAACTGAAAGTAACCAAAATGTCCAATAGTAGGTAAATGGTTAAAAGAACTGTGGTACATCCATACTATAAATAGTACTCAGCCACATAATAAAACATACTATTGAGACATAATCCGAATGGATGTTCTACCCCTGAGCTACATCACCAACTCAGCTCTGTGTCTTAATTGTACTAATAGGACCTTCACTTGTGATAAAATAACCTTTTTTTTTTTTTTTTTTTTTTTTTTTTTTTTTTTTTTTTTTTTTTTTTTTTTTTTTTTTTTGGTACTGGGGATCAAACTCAGGACCTGTGCTTGCGAGGCAGGCGCAGTGCCACTGAGCTAAATCCCCGGCCCTCCAAAATAACATTTAACTATCCACACACATTGTCCCAATGCCAGTTTCTTGGTTTTGAAACTTTCCTATAGTTAACATAACATATAACCAGTGGAGGAAGCTGGGTGAAGGATATAAAAGACCTCTTCTACTGTCTTTGCAACTTCATTGCATATAAGTTTATTCTAGAATAACAAAGTTTTAAGAAACTTAGCTATCCTTATCATTAAGGTCATTATTCTTGACAGTAACATTAGGGTTATGCTTCTAGTTTTTTAAAATGCCAAGCACTGTTACACAGTGTGGGCAGGTCCCTTTCCTCCCACTGTGGGGATATTTTATGAAAATTAGCTTTCCAAAAAGGCTTTCCTGAGATAAGAGCCATGGATTTTATTTCAGCTCTCTTTCTAAATGAAAACTATGACAACCTTTTCGATGATTCCAGAGAAGAGAAATCTAAAACTCAACAGTATCTTTGGGAACTAGGGAAGGCCTTCCAAACTGATAAACTCTAGCTAACTAAGTGAGAAAAACAAGGGAAGAAACAAAGTACCTGTATCAGGAATAAAAGAGGGGACATCACTGCAGATCCTTCAGACATTCAAAGAATTATAAGGGAATACTATGAGCAAATTTGTGCCTGTAAATTTGACAACTTAGGTGAAATAGACAAATTCATTGAAAGATACAAATTACCAAAACTGACCTGATGAGACAGAAAACTTGAACAGCCCTATGCTAATTTTTAAAAATGATTTTTAAATTAAACATCTTCTTACTAGCCCAAATGGCTTCACTGGTGAATTATATCAAGCATTTAGGGAAGAAATAATGCCAGTCCTATACAAATCCTTTCAAAAAGTAGAGGAAGGAACACTTCTTAAATCATTTTGCAGTTGGGCCATCAAACAGGTTTTTCTATTAAAGCCACTCCAGTTTTCAGAAAATTTTACAACTGTTTCCCACCAACATAAATGTAGTTATATAGAGCATCAAGTATGTATAAGAACTTTACATATACTTACTTATTTCTGTTTTATATATATTTTTTCTAATACTCACATAAATTCTAAGAAAGCAATAGTGTTTGGCTATTAGCTCATACTGCTTCTCCGTCAGATTTCCAGGGTACTGAAAACAGATACAAGCAGTTCCTTCATGATTAAATGATAAATTCATGATCCAGGATCCCTGGTAAGCCTATGTTAAAGTGTGTAGCTTAGCCTTTAGGAATGGAGCTCCTTACAACTCATTTCATCCATTGAAGACAGGTATCCTTTAGCCACTAGGTTGGTCACAGTCATAGGTGTGGAGGTTGAAGTGGAGAGATCCTAGAAATCATTAGGTCTGTCAAAGTCTGCTGCTTCTGCTCACAGCATAAAGGTTAGAGGAGAAACAATGATCCCCTACCATGTAGAGGGTCAAGACTACAAGTCAGAGTCAACCCAGTTTCCCCTTTCATAGATAACTGACCCTCCTTACTGCATCAACTGCAGAGTGGGAGTGTTACAGGTAGAGGGATGGAATAGAAATCCTGTCTCCCTGATGGATACTTTTGGAGTAGGAGGCTGTGCATTTTTGCACACCAGCCCAACACACATTTGTGCACTCACTTGTAAAAGAGTATCTTGTATTTCACTGATGATGAAAGCAAACTTAAATTAATGGTGCAAGTAAGGTTATGTAGATGGTGTGAGACTAAGTCAAGGTTATGCTCTCTTTGATTCCTGGGCCCACCGCTACACTGTCTCTGGACTGAGGTGTTTTTCACAAATAAACCATACAATGTTCCTGACTCACCTATGCGGTTGCCAAAATTATCTGAACCTATATGTCATTTACTGACATACGATAGATAGGAGATGGTTATTATGAATCTAAATAAATGTATTTATTTACCTAAATGGAGAATTTGGGAACTCTTTTTCAGACCAAAATTAATGATGGATAATTTGGTATTTTAAACAGCTAATCTCAATGTATAATCAAACTCATAATTACTTTATATGAAATCAAATTATGGGCTGTGAAAGCCACTTTAACGGCTGAAAAAACACCATTTTTGCATAATCTTCCCTTCATCAGTCCTATTTTCTTAAAAGAAAAACAAATAACAGGCTTTGCTAGTTCCCAATTTAAGCTGTTCTTGACATGGTAGTCTTTTGGGTTATCAACTGTTACTCTTTTTCTTTTTTAAACAGTCCTTATAAAAGCACTGAAATAGTTGGTTCTTGTTGTGATTGCCATGTCTGATTAAACATATTGTCAGTTGAATGTGTGGTATTTCACTGTTTTACTGGTGGTGTGTAAACAGGTACACACAGAACATTTGACCTATGTGTATAGAGTTCTCAATGCAGATGCGGACCTTTTTTTCTGATTTGAAATAGTTATCATTGGAATTAGCTTTGATTTTTGTGCTGTCATTTTGGTTTGCATACAGGGAATCAACTAGAAAAGAATTCATCTGTAGAAGCCTTAATTTTTTGGTGAACTTCCCTGTAAACACACACACACACACACACACACCCACCCACCCACACACTAACATGTGAAAACTTGTCAGTGAGGAATGGGAGAGGATAGGGTGTTCCAAGGAGTAGAAATGTAAGGCTTATCGTGGAATACTGGGAATTGGGATATCAAGGGAATTTTCACCAAAAGGAAATCTTACTAGTTCTGGTCTGTCATAGGCCTAGATTCTTGAAAGCTTTATAGGAGCATACCACCATCTCCTGTTGTCTCTTCTTACCATGCTGTATCTGGGAGTAAGGAGTAGGGGAGACTCTGCACCAGTCCTGGCTGTATTGTAGCCAAATAAGCATAGAATAATAGACCTAGAATTTCACTGGACACCTCCTGTTCTTTGATCCCTAAAGGGAAATGGTGGGATTAAAAAGCTGGGCAGCGAGGAGGCTTATGTAATGAGAGAGAAATGCACTGGGATTCAGAGACTGGCTTTCCAGTTCTGGAGCTTTGTTTTGGTGGGTATATAACTTCAGGCAACTCATGTCTGCTCTTTGAATTTTAGATTTCTTTTGTGTAAGTAAAATGGTATAAACAACAGCTTTATACTGAGGTATTGTAAGAATTGGATGGGATATATGAAAGTACTTTGTGAAGTATGAAGTATACATTTAAGTACTAGATGTACTATACAAATAAGTGTTACATCTGTTCAAGGTATAGTAAGATTTCAGTTAATATCAGCAAATATGAATGAGGGATGGGTAATTTATGTGCTTGTGATTCTATAATATATTATGAATGTATTTTTTGTAGTAGATTTGCGTTTCTAATTTTGTGCTTTGGCTAGTATCATGAATATGATTTTAATATATAGTTATACTAATCACAGGGATGGTTACACAAAAGCAAGCAGAATGGCAAGAGAAGCACATCTGAGATTGAAATTTGTTCCTGGATACTTCATATTAGTGTCATCGGTCTTATGTTTTGTCCTTGATTCACTGTTAACACTTCATGGTTAAAGCCTTTGATAGATTTTTAAAAATGGAAGTGGATTTACAGTAGTGGGTTTATTGACATTAATCATCTTTTATGAAATATATATAAATGCATTGTCTTAAAAAATGACTGGGGACAATGATTTAGAAGTGAAACATAATATGTATAGGCAGCACCCTCATTTGGTGACTGTTGACATGGCAAGTTCTTCCTGTGCCTTGTCTTTCCCAGGTGTAACTCAGCTGGCACACTGGACCCTGCTGCCTTTTTAAATATTTTATGTAAAATATTCCTGGCCCTTGTTACATTAGGATGCTTGGGATATTTTATTTGTCGTTTTTTTTCTGTTATTGTTAAATAGTTCTGATTGTTGAATGAGAACAGATTTTGCCTTGAGAAATAGGAATCATGGCTTAGGATTTTCAAGGAAAAGCATAACTTCTTCCCCCACAGTTAGAGTATCCTGTGGGCTTACAGACCTGTAAGAAGTAAATCCTTATGTGTGTTTGTGTATATTTTTTAAGGTAACCAATGAATATGCAGAAGTATTGAAAACATTGTAGGTTTTTTTTTTTTTTTTTTTT